TGTCCTTTGTCTTCATGTTGTCTTCTAACGGCTGTCTGTCCAGGGTGTATCCCACCTGCCCACCCACAACCATGGCCAGTACGGACAGGCAGGCATAGATGACGGACGGATGGATGACATTTGGAGCTGCAGTCACGTGCAACACCTCTAGAAATGACTCCATAGTGGAATCTGGCAGACTGTTTGCCCACTGGACATCTGCTGGACTGACCCTTGATAGGCTGGAGGGATCTGAACTGCGCTGTCCCTAAACAAACAGTTTTCCTCAAACTATAAACCTTTTAATCCTTCTGCTGACCTGCTGCTGGAATCAGAGGACGCTGCTGAATAATTTATGAAGTCCCCTTGTGCTCAGATGGAGACTAAGCATTGAACTGCATAAAATAATGGTGACTTAAGTTGGCTTGGTACATATATTAAGAAAAGGGCCAATGAGGCTACACATTTATGGTCTGCTGCTCTCCACACAAGTCTCATTTATGTCAACACATCTAGTGCAGGATTTATCGGCGCAAATTATTGTGGCTAGAGAGCCTCTCTGCAGCTAGTGGTGGAAGGAGTGGGGGGGGGGGCAGGGATATTATTTACTATCTTGTGGAATATGATGGCCGCTCAGTTTACCTAGCCTTCAAGTTAAACACCATCGTTTTTATTTGCTCCCGTTTCCTCGGCAGCAGGAGGCTGTTTCCTAATGCCACACGTCAGTCGGAAAGTGGAACGTCAGCGCTTGCTTCTGTATCAAACAGCTGCTGTGCTACAGTTGTTGTTTGTTACTCGCAAACTGTGAGTGTGAAATTGTTTTAATTGGTAGTTCATACAAAAAAACAAAAAAAAAACAAAACGACAACAACCGTCAAACGACAAAGCGGCTACAGGGCAAGATCTGAGAGCTTGGCAGAGTGCAGCTGGACTCTGGGAGAAGGTCGCTTCCTGTAGCGTTGATCTAACAGCCGTGAGTGCTCTCCTCAAAGGGAGCAGTCCATTACTGCTGGTAACGAACGAGGGAAAGCAAACCATGAGGAGCAGCTCGGGAAAATGCCTCTCTGCGGGAAAAGCCATTTAAGATTCCGTGTGACAACGGGAATTTGCTTAGCCGCCTAAACATTTCTCTACGTAGTCTGTCTTTTCATGCAACTCAGAGAAATGTCAAGTAAGATAATCCATTACGCTTTCCCCCCACAAACACAGAAACAAAACACACCTACAGGCAACACGTCGAGCTGTCTGTATTCGGATGCCAGGAGAAATCGTTTCAAGTGAAATTCCTTTTGCCACGACTGCAACCCGCGAGCTGCAGCTGGAAATTATGGAAGTTAATGAAGCACGGCTCACTTTTAACAAAACCCATCAAGTTTAGGGTTTAAAGAGGAAACGGAGTGATTTTTTTTTTTAATGATGGATCGGAAACGTTACGGTGATCCACCTGGCTTTGTGGGAAAGATTCTACTGGCTGGAGATAATGGGGAGGGAGTCGGAAACAGCTGGGCTGTAAGCATCCCTGTCATTTCCAGGCTGAACAGCTAATCCTATAGAGAAGCAGCACATGACTCACGCTGCTCAATGCTCAGTGGGAAGCGCAGTACTGACACAATTAGAGCACGGCACACACGAGTATGCATGAAGATGAGAACGCGCACCCACACGCACACACACGCACGCACACACACACGCGCGCGCATCTTCTTGGCATTTCCTTTGGCTGTGATGTGCCAAGAAAACACCAAAACAGCTGTGGCCACCAGCCAAGTCTTAATTTGATTGGAGCCAGTTTGTCAGGCCACAGGTTGTGCAGCTCCAACTACCTAAATTACTCAAGCTGAAATAAAACAGGTCAGTAGATTTAAATCTGGCTGCAGTCATCATAAATAATAATTCGGCGGGAAAGGCAAAAAAAAAAAAAAAAAAGAAGGTGTAAAGAGGTAGATGTTTAAACAGCGTTTTGGAAGTAAGCGGCCTTTAGCGTGTAAACAGATATTCCTATGAAGTAAACTCTGCAGATTCTCTACACTGAACTATATGCGAACTGAACACACGTTTCGTATAAAGTCCTAATGACGAGAGTCACTAAAACACAAAGAAAAGAAATACGGAGTAATACATGTTTTGACATAGATAAACAAACTGCTGTTTGTCCCCTTTCTTTTCCATCTCTATGTTCATTATATTTGAGTAATGAATACAGAAATGTATAACAAAGGTTTATATAGATATACATCATAGTGAAAGCTGTAAAGTTCCACTGATGTGAAGGTAAATCTGACGGGCTTCACCTCGGCACTTGGATAACAATTTGGAGTGCCACGCTGTCACACAGGACATAATAAAAAAAAGAAGGAAAAAAAAAAAAAAGAAAATGTACTATTTTTCATCTTACTTTTGAGATTTTGGTTCAAAATGAATTGCCGTCTTCTTAATCATCGTTGCAGTAAGAGCCATTGTGTTTGCCACTTTCAGCCAGATAACCATAATTAGAGTAAAGCCGTTTGATTTGGTAATTAACCATCGCTAGCAGGCAAAGGTATTTTTGAAGGAACTTAGTTTAATGTAACTTCCCATATTTGTCTGCTGTGACATTTGCACGCGCACCGTGACAAACCCTCGTGAAACTCAGAGAGCTCCGAACATGACAACTTTGCAGACTTCTACCTGTTTGCGGACGTACCGTTTGTCAGACAAAGTTTAATTTATGTCTTCAGCAGTGGAAGAAATAAATGACGTGAAACCAAAGGGAAAGCGGGAATACTCCTGTGACCAGAGCATTAGTTTCCAACAGGTTGCCAACAGACAAGGAATTAGAATGAATGGGGCTGAGGAGTCTAAATTTAAACCGAGTACCAAAAGCTCTGCAGGTGTCGTTCTTTTTTTTTTTTTTTAACTTCATAGAGGTAAAAAGCCCAGGGAGGAAAAATCCTCATTCCACATGATGCTTGGCTGATGACAGACCAGAGAAGAAATGTCAGCTTCTCGAAAGAATTAACAGCACTGCCGAGAGCAGATGAGGGATGAGTTTAGGTTTTAGAAATAATGGGTAAAGTTATGTTTTCTGATGGGCAATAATTCATCAGATCATGACGTTCAGATTTATTTGTGGTGTTCCTTGTTTACGGTGAAGCCAGCTGCTCTGGATGTGGTGAGCGAAATTTTATGCAAAGCATTATGGGTAATAGGGATGAGGCAGACCCTTACACAATGGGACGCATGGCTCTGTATTTCGGAGGATATTATTACTCTACCATTTTAGGTGCAATGCATGCAAAGTCTAGATCCCAGTGATACATAGTGGAGGAACTTTGACATACAGAGACCAGTTTTTTTTTTTTTTTCTTTTTCACGGAGCAGCCATCACGTTGTTAATCCTGCTGTTTTCGCCAACATGACCTTTCAAATGTTCATCTCCAGGCTGTACAATCCCAGAAAACTTTCTGTCCTCCGCTTAAATCTTGCCAGTATTTTTAGTGCACTAAAGCTGACTGTACTTGAAGGGAAACTGCTTCTCAGGGGTGAAAAGGCACTCAGGGTTTCTGAACCGAACTGACAGTAAAGTCTGCTGTCCGCATTGTATTTCAAAGCGATCAGAACTGCAAGGCAGAGAACAACTTGATTGTTAAAATAAAGATGCAGATTTCAAGGGTTTTAGGAACCTTCCTGTGATTGTTTTTTTTTATTTTTTATTTTTTTTTTTTTAATATTCTTCAAATTCTAATTTGTCCGGCGTTTTATGGGCACAACGGAGGCAAAAAGATGATTCCTTTTTACTCGACATCTGTAGCCGCGCTCCCGAGGTAGAACAGTGCTGTTGACAAAATGAAAGCTGGACGTGTAGGAATAAATTTGGCGCGGTGCGCCACAGCGAATGGGAAGAAAAAAAAACAAAAAACAATGGAGAAGAATTAGTCAAAATCACTTGCTCTCTTTTTTTCTCGATCTCTGTGTCGGCTACTTGTCGCGTTGACCCGTTGCCATAGAAACTGATTGACAACAGCTCCATCAATGTGTCAGGACTCACCACTAAGAAGACGCAAACAGTTCACAGAACTTTCAGAGAACAGAACATCGAGTCCGTTCCGGGGTGATGCTTTCGGGCTTGATGCTTATTTTGCGGTAGTCAGCAAGCGGTCGTCTGAACAAAGCGCTGGTTGCTTAGTTCCTCACATGTACATGTAAGATTTGGCGTTTTGTGTTGACAAATAAAACCAGTGCCAGACATGGTCGATGAGTAGGGGGCGTCGGATCTCGCGCGTCTCTAACCTCCTGGGTGAAGCGCTTCGTCAAGACAGGTTTGAGTCCTGCCGTTGTCCTCACCATGCAGACGAGGGATCCTCAGACAAGAGGGTCACCAGCCCAGTGCAACATCTTCATGGTGTGATGACGCCCCTGCACCTGAAGCTCACAAGATAAAACTTTCTTCCGCATGCGCTATGGTTAATGTTTCCAAACTCTGCAGTGACAGATCATGTTCCGCCACGCTCTTCTGCAAGACAGAACGACGTTTTGCCTTCGCCATCTTGGGATCATGACAGTGTGAAAGCCTGACCGAAAATAACATAAAAAAAAAAAAAAAACTAGTTTATGTGCAGATTTTGACTTGTTAAGGCTAATAAGTATAACCTGTCCATCAGCTGGCGAACAGCTTGGCGACAATTTTTTTATTTTTATTTTTTTTAAAGAATTTTTCTCCTCTTTTTTTTGTCTCTTGCTGGCGTTTCTTGTTTTTGCACGTTTAATAACTACTTACAATCTGGTTATGATTCAACCTTAATGATTATGAATCTCTTTAAATTATTCTCCCATCTTAAAACTTTTACAAGTTTCCTAATTTGTATTTTTTTTTTTCCTTTCACATTGTGACCAGAAGTATTCAGTTGCCTGAAAATGAACAGATTCAGGTCTTAACAATAAAGGTTTTGGGTTACAAGACGCTTGATCAAATAAAACTTTGCTGGCGAGCATTGGGGGCAGAAACGGTAAAACAGTAAAACAAAAGAAGAAGTCCTCTCTACCTCTGGCTGACTGATGCCTCCATGTGATGCTGGCCTCAGGTCGTCCCACCGCCTGGCACATCAGATTGACGCTGCTGCCCTCGTTCACTGTGACGTCCTTCGATATATTCGTTATCTTGGCAGGTACTGACAAGAGAAGGGAAAAGGAGTGATTGATGTTTTCAATGTAATTAAAGACACGTGAACAGAGAGCCCAGAGTCCCACATGATCAGAGGCACAACATGGATAAAAATAACACCAAGGTTGGGGACTCAATTAGCATGAAATTAGCTGACAAATCTGACAATCCTTTGGCATGCCGTGATGTTCTACATGATTGATTTTCTTCATAGCGTACTGTAGCTTTGCTGCGCTGCTCATTAGACGAGCATGAAATGATTCGGAGCTGGATGGGATTTTGTGTGTGTGTGTGTGTGTGTGTGTGTGTCTCTGACAAGGCCATGTGTGTTTATGCTTTGAGACGAAAGATTTAAATCAAAGATTTTTCCATTTGCGCTCACTTTGTTTTTGGGCGTGTGCTTTCCGACGGGTCGTTTACATAAACGGAAAAGTTTTTTCTTTTTTTTTTTTTTTTTTTTTTTTTAAACATATTTATCAATTTCTATTTTCAGTAAACGCGGCACGTTTAACTGTTTTATGTTCTAAAACTCGCCTCTTGTTCCCTTTTTTGTTTAATTCAGCGCTTCCACAAATCTGGACCGGAGTTAACCTTCCAAAACTAATCAATACAATAATTATGCGGCTCTCTTTATGTCGACCTTATGTTAAATTTTAGCATTTATTTTGTAAACACAAATCAATATGTCACATAATTTTTAAAGAAGCAGAGGCACCTGGGGAAATATATTAATATCAAGACTGAAAGGAAAACAGGGAAAAAAATGATTTTTTTTTTTCCTTTCTTTTGTAAGCACAGGGGAAGTCATTGCAGAACATCTAATCTTGAAGGTCAGGCATTGTTGGCTCTATTTGCAGGCTCCCACTCGCCACATAAGAAGTCAATAAGGGAGGTTTTACAAGCTAAGAATTGACCTTGGTGTTTTTCCTCTTTCTTTGGTTTGTTTGCTATGAAATAGACAGAGAACCTTCGGCCATCTTTGCGGCTCTGCGTGAGCCCAAACAGCCCTCCTCCTGGAGCATTTTCCAATTGTCAGTAAATCGGTATCTTTATAATCCAATAGAGTGCCCTAAAATGATTTGAGTCCCTTTCTCTATGAGAAGTCTTCCCTTGTTCTCCAGACAGAAAGGCCTCAGCTCATTCTCCAGACAAAGATAGGTAGGACTGTTGTATGAAAAAAAAAAAAAAAAAAAAAAAAAGGAAAAAAAAAAATTCTGTTTAATTCAAAATGTGTAT